ATTTGTCTGAAGTGGTGTAGGGGTTCCTGCCTAAGCAGGAGGTTGGACTAGAAAACCTCCAAGGTCCCTTCCAATTCTGTTATTCTATTAGTCAACAGGCCCAGCCAGGATGGTCATCAGCATAGCAAAGTGTGTTCCCAATGGTTTGGGGTACTGTAAATATTGAGTGATATACATTTTGTTTCAAAAAGCTTCTGGTTCATGATCTTTGATTGCCTGGAAGCCAATTTCCAGGATATTCAATGTTACAAGCAATGCAACAGCATATATCGTGTACTTTTGTTTTTAGTGGGCATTGTATTTATATGAGGAATAGGGCAGAGATGGGTTCTGGTAGGCACTACTGCTGACTCGCTCGTGTGCACGCCACTCATGTGTGCGTCACACACACGTGCTTGATGCAGGCTGAGCGCACATGCACAGTGCAATTAAAATTGTTCTGAGCATGCGCAAAAACAAGATGGTGCCACTGTAGGCGCCACCAGGAGAACCAGTTTGTGGGTGTGGCAGGCCTGGATCGCTGCCGGTTCCACCAAGCCAGGCTGCCAAACCACTACCAGTTCAGCCAAACCGGCCCAAACCAGTAGGAACCCACCACTGGAATAGGGTTAATTTGCCATGTGTGTTAACATATTGCTTTAAACATAAACTACTCTATGTATTCATGAACGAACAAGCTGGGTTGGAATAATAAAACCAAGTCAAGTCTAGCAAATATGGTTGCCAGACTAGGATTTATTTACAGAATCAAAAGCTCAATTCTGTATTGCTTAAGGGTCTAAAAGTATTTATAGTAAAATCTCTAAAATATAAGTTTATTTTAAAAATTCTTCATGTGCATTTATATTTTTGTTAATTTAGCATACAGTACGTAACAAAAAATATTGTTTCATTTGCATTTGATAGATCAGAAGAAGCTAAAGGACCTCAGAAAAAGGTAAATATTTTGGATACGTATGCCACAAAAATAAGTTATTTACAAATATTCTATGTTACATACATGAATAGACTGCTACGGGTTCGGGAGGATCCATAACTAACAAGTTCGAAGAACCTCCAAATCCCACCCCTGGCTGGCCCTTCCTGCCCCACCCCTCCTAGGAGTCTCCATGCAACCTGTTTTGGATGCAGACGGGGAAAAATGGGCCTCCAGGAAGTTCCGGAAGGCCGGAAACGGACCGGTTTCCAGCCCCTGGAGCCTGGGGGAGGCAGTTTTCACCCTCCCGGAGGCTCAATAAAAGCCTCCTGAGCCTGGGGACGGTGAAAACAATCCGCCCACTGTGGTGCAGGAGGCCAACTAGGCCATGCCCACCCAGCAACCAGCAGAGAACCCATTGCTGAAATTTTTGAAGCCCACTCCAGTTACATACTACCATGTTTCCATGGTACTTATTACCATATTTCCCTTATTAATTCTCGTCCATGTACCCATATCATATAAATTTCAGGTAAGAGATTTGCCTGCAGTCAAAAAATGGCTTTGTATTCTATCAAGATGCCGTATGTTAAAAATTTACAAAAGATAGTACTTGCGGATTTAGGTCTCCAAAGTCATAATAGCAGATGGATACCACGAAATGTTTTCAAAGTACATAATTAACTTTAGAGGTTTTTTCTTCTTCTTCTGAATTCGACTGCTTTTAATAGTAGATCATACATTGGAGAATTTGTTTTTCTCTTGTATCTGTGATTATGAAGGATTTTTTTTCTTCCCCCAGCACAAAGTCCTTTTGCAGCACTTTAACATGAGTGATGAAAGAACGCAAAAACGCCAGCCCATCAGGGGAAGTGATGAAAGTAAGTCAGTGCACTGGACCACCCGAGTTTCACTGCCGAAAAAAAAAACAAAGGTTCACACACTAAAATAATTGCCATATTCCCCCCCACCCTTTTCTCGTGACCCGTCAAAACCGCGCTCGACTAAACCGTGCCCGATTAAACCGCGTCGCTAACGTCATCAACAGGGCGACAACAGCCAGCGCGGAGAAAGAAGGGCGCTTTAAATAGCACTTTGAAAGCAAGCCGATTCAACTTAAGGTAAGGGTTAGCTTTAGGGTTAGCTTTAGG